GCTCGATGACATCATCACTCAGCGCAGTGTCACGTGACTCGTCTACCTGCTCGATGACATCATCACTCAGCGCAGTGTCACGTGACTTGTCTACCTGCTCGATGACTCTCAGTTCTCCGGCAGCGTCCACGGTCTCCTGTTTATAAACCAAAGCGTCGGCCATCACATCGTCATCATCAAACAAGATGGGAGGAGCCTCGTCCTGCCCTGGCCCGCCCACACCGTGCATGCGCCTGCGATGCTGCTGCAGGTTTCCGCGGCGGTTGAAGCGAGCAGAGCAGTGTTCGCAGGCGTACGGCCGCTCTCCGGTGTGGATGATGATGTGGCGGGCGAGCTGCGAGCGGCACTTCTTGTCTTTGCCGCAGATGTGGCAGACGAAGGTCTCCGGGGGGCGCGCTCCGTTGGCGTGCACCACCTCATGGTGCCTCTTCAGGTGGCTGTGGCGGCGGAAGCTGCGGCTGCAGAAGTCGCAGGCGAAGGGGCGCACATCGCTGTGGACCAGGGCGTGGCTCGCCAGCAGGGAGCGGAAGCGGAACACCCTGCCACAGACGGGGCACGAGAAGGCGCTCAGCGTGGAAGCGCCCCTCCGGCGTGCAGTGGGCGCCTCTCCAGCTCTGGCCCTCAGGTGCACGCGGGCGTGGTGCTGCTTCAGGCAGGCGGCGCGCTGGAAGCCGCGCAGGCAGATGGTGCAGCGGTGCGGCTTATCGCCTGTGTGGGTCTGAGTGTGAGCGTCCAGCAGCGCCTCGGTCTTCAGGCGCTTCCCGCAGACGTCGCAGGCGAAGGCTCCGTCGAGCCGCGGGCTCACCTGGCCGTCACTGAAGTTGGCGTGCATCAGGATCTTGTGGCGCTTCAGCTGGTACTGGCGGGAGAACTTGCGGCCGCAGACGTCACAGAGGTGCGGCCGCTCGCCCGTGTGCGTCTGGAAGTGAATGACGAGCTGCGAGCGGCACCTGAACTCTTTGCCGCACGAGTCACAGAGCAGCGAGGCGGGCTGGGTCGGGTCGGCGCCGCTGGACTCGTGCACCACCTTCCTGTGGTGCTCCAGGTCGTTGACCCTCATGTAGGCTTTGGGGCAGAGGGGGCAGCGGTGCGGCTTCACGCCCGAGTGGATCACCTCATGTGTCTTCAGGCGGGACCGGCAGCTGAACGTCTTCCCGCAGACGGCGCAGAGCCACGAGGGCGACGCCCGCCGCTTCTCCCGCCTGCTGACGCCGTCGGGGTGGAGGTGGGCCAGGTGGTGCTGCAGGTTGTCGCGGCGGTTGAAGCGCAGCTCGCAGAGGTGGCAGGAGAACGGTTTGTTCCCCGTGTGGATGAAGGAGTGACGCGCCAGGCTGGACTTGTTCTTCATCACCTTCCCACACACCTCACACACAGAGCTGCCGGGCTCCAGCTTCACCGTCTGCACAGGTGCATGCTGGGAGCCTGAGGGGAGGAGACACTCAGATGATTGACAGTTGTCACACTCTCACAGAAACATTTTAAAACCCGTTCGGTTTTATTGGTTACGTCTCGTCACATGTTGATGGCTCTGACTGGACTTCCAGCAGCTTTGGTACAGAACCCAGAACTGGTACTGGTTCTGGGTTCTCGGGTGCAGCTAGTGAGGACTTCAGATGAAGCACGGGTTTAAATGGTTTTCATTAGTTCTGGTTCTGTCTCACCTCTTGTTGGAGTCCAGATGGGATCACCTGCGTCGTCCTCCTCCTCCTGTTGGAGGTCAGGTGACCTGCGGCGGCGCCGGCGGGCCGCATGTGGCCTGGTGGTGTCAGAATACTGAAGTGGCGGCCCTCTTTTGGTTCTGGTCTGAGTGGGCTCATCAGAGAGTTTGACAGCGGGTCGAATGATTCTGGTTCTGGTACGGTTGGTGGTGCAGTGCTGCAGCAGAGCGCCGCCGTCTGATCCGTCGGGTCGAACCGTGAGACACTGCAGCAGCATCGCAGGAGAACCTGCAGACAGAACATGTGTTAGACCGACCTGGGCCCGGTTCTGAGCAGGTTCTGAGCCCTGATCTTCTGTCTCACTGCAGGCTGACGGGCCTCAGGTGACCTGCTGTCAGAACTAGTGTTGTTCGATACCAGGATTTTCTGGTCCGATACGACACGATGCAGTGACCTCATTTAGTCTGAGCTTATAAAACAAACAGGACATCATACAAAATATGTGAAAATATTTTTTCAAACAATAAAAATCATAAAACTATTAAATTATTATATATTTTTCTCCACCGCTCTGTATAATTTGATGACACCACAGAGCAGACAGCGTCCCCACTAGCTCAGGAGCCAGGCAGAAGGAGAAATCCCACACAAGACAGGCTCTGGATCAATGTGGATATCCTAACTGGGCCTTCCTGAAAGAAGAAACCCCAACAGGACTCCAGTCAGCCATCAGGTGAAAAGGAGGAACCCAGACCCAGACCAGTGGTCATTCCAGATGTTGAGGGGGTATCAGAGAAACTGAGACGTTTATTTTCTAAACATAACGTCCCAGTGGCTTTTAAACCCCAAAATACATTAAAGACTGGTTGATGTGGTTCAAGATGGCGGCGCCAGTGTGTTCGGCTTGCCTCTCTCTGCAAACCTTCATTGTTTTTTGCTTTTATAATTCAGGGTGCCAACTCTCTGCTGGTGTATAATCACCAAACGCTTTAAATCTTCAACCCTGTTTTAATAACTTGGCTTCGTTTGTGCAAGAGGGCCAGAAAACTTTCCCCTCCATTTCTGTCGGACGTGCCGTCCCACCTGTGCCACACCCCCATTCCACCTGCACGCAGACGCTGTGGGAAACGCAGCGGCCGGCTGGTCGGACTGAAAGCCTGTTTGGGGTTGGCCGCTCTCTCATGGGTTTGGAGCTGCATCTAATAGTTTCATCCTGTGACGCTCCTCGGATCCTAACAGCTCCTCTCAGGTTCCTGCTGTCGGCCTGGGAGGGGGGCAGCCGGTGCGCTGCCTCCCCCTCCCCCGCCTCCGTGCACGCGGGGTGAATCATCTCAACCTGCGGCTGCTGGACAGAGCTCCTCGGATGGATTACGTCACCCCCCCTCCATCTCATGTTCACATGGCCCTGGTTAATGCTAGATCACTAACAAGACCTTTATTCTGAAGGACTTCTTCACCTCCCCCAGTCTGGATTTCTTATTCTTAACTGAAACATGGGTACTCCCAGTGAGCCCAGTGCTTGTTGTGAACTCTTGCCACTGAACTGTCCTTTCTTCAGCTCTCCCAGGAGGACAGGTCGTGGAGGAGGAATAGCAACTGTGCACAGGAAGAGCGGTCTCTGTAAACAAATCACACCTTTAACATTTTATTCCAGCTTCGAGTTCAACTTATTTGAGCTCGGATCTTCACACCGGGTGCTGAGTGCTCCAAAATACAACAAGGACTTTCTGACGGACTTTGCAGATTTGTTGGCAGGAGTCCTGCCTAAATATGACAGGATCTTAATAACTGGATATTTTAATATCCACGTGCTACACTGTCAAACCGTTGGTCAAAGATTTTTTACAGCTGATCAATTCTTTTCATTTTGTTCAGTTTGTGTCTGGTCCAACACAAGAATGTGGCCACACATTAGATCTGGTCTTAGCTCATGGTTTTAATGGTTCTAATCTGGAAGTGTGTGATGCTGCTTTCTCAGACCACGTGCCTGTGGTGTTTGACGTGCCACTTGTCTGTCACTCAGTCAAACCTCGCGCCAACAGTGTTGTTTTAAAGTGCTTTATAAATAAAGTTGTATTGTGTCCCAAAGATCCAGTCCCCCGGCACAAACAGAGTAATGTTGTGTATGTTGTTCAGTGTCAGGAGGGTGATCAGTCTTACATCAGGGAAACTAAACAGCCACTGGCCAAAAGGATGGACCAGCACAGAAGATCAACATCATCAGGCCAGGACTCTGAGGTCTACACTCATCTCCAGGCCAGAGGTCACTCTTTCAGGGATGAAGATGTTCACATCCTGGACAGAGAGGAACGATGGTTTGAGAGAGGAGTAAAGGAGGCCATCTTTGTGAAAAGAAACCGTCCATCATTAAACAGGGGTGGAGCCTCCAGGTTCAACTGTCCCCCTCTTACAATGTTGTGATTGCTAGTATCACTCAGCCCTCTGTGAACAGTAAACAGCCATCAGGTGCTAATGATCCATTGTTAGGCTGATGGTCCTTCTTGACCATGTGATCAGCTGGTTCTGGTTGTCAGCAGCAAACTGGTTGATCCACTCTGAGAAGGTGCTATTTAAGAGTCTGAGCTGAAAACAGCACCTCAGACTGAGGAAGTCCTCAGGATGAGAGACGAAACGTTTCTGTATTTTTTGTTGTTGTTGTTGTTTTTTGAATGTCCAGAGGAGCAAACTGAACTGTTTTAGATTTAATTTATTGTTCAGTTTGTGTGTTTGTAAGAATGTTTATTGTTGTCATCATCATTTGTTTAAAACGGTCTCTCTGGTGCTCAGTGACACTAACCTGCAGAAATAAAGGTTGAATGAAAAAAAAAAAGACTACACACAGCCGCTCAGGTTTCCATGGCAACATTGGTGCTTTACAAATTACCCAACATGCTCAGCTTTTGATTAGAACAAAGTTCTAAATAAAAGCATAACTTTCAGGATAAAACTTTTTTCAGAATAAAAGTACCAGATTCATAATAAATGTCAGATTTTCAGAATAAAAACATACAAATAAATAAAAGCCTGTTTTAAAATTAAACATGTGTAAAGTTTCAAATTAAAAGCATCGCTTAAAAAGCCTGACTTTCAGAACCAAAGCCCCAGAGCTGAAGTGGAGGTGAACAAAGACCTGGTCCAGGTCCAGACGAGGACACCTCCGTCCTCACCTGAGTGTGTCCAGCTGAGCTGCTGAGTCAGCAGGTCCACCTGGACGCTGGCGTCCCTCGTCTCCGTGAAGTCGCTCTGACAGCCCACCTCCTTCCGCCGCTCCTCCTCAGGACTCTCCCACTGGCAGCCCACGTCCCTCCTCTTCCCCTCCTCCCCTCCCAGCAGGAGGACACAGCGCTGCTCTCGTCCTCCAGGAGCCTCCATCCTCAGCACCTGCCAACAGTCACATGATCAGAACCTCTGCCCTCTGATTGGCTGCTCCGCCCATCACTCATTCAGTCTGAACTAGAACTGGTCCCAGGTCAGCAGCAAGAAGTCTAAAGCTACAGTTTCCAGACAGTCCTTGAACACAGCACTGACTGGAATCTCAGGTGAGAAAGTTTCTGTTGATTTGAAACTCAGGTTGGTCACCTGTCTGCAAAACACCTTCACTGACTACAGATTACTACAGCTGTAGTGACCTGTAGTAATCTGTAGTAATCTGTAGTATGAGAGCAGACCTGAATGGACATGTTGGTGAAGGAAACAGAGGATGAGGAAGTGATGGGTAGGTTTGGTGTCAAGGAAAGAAACCAGGAAGGACAGATGGTGGTGGATTTCACCAAGAGAATGGAAATGGCTGTAGTCAACACCTGTTTCCAAAAGAGGGAGGAGCCTAGAGTGACCTATCAGAGTGGAGGAAGGAGTACGCAGGTCGATTACATTCTGTGTAGAAGAAGAAACCTGAGGGAGACTGGAGACTGTAAGGTTGTGGCAGGGGAGAGCGTGGCCAGACAGCATGGGATGGTTGTGTAGAAAGACGGTTGTTGTGAAGAAGAACTGCTGGGAACGACTTCCTGTTTGAAAACAACATCCCTTTGGTTTTGTCAGCATTTAGCACCAGTTTGAGTAACAGCTGTTAAAGAATGTGTCTGTGTGACAACTGGGACAAAGCTCAGAAATATATTTTTGTTATTACTTTATGGAAAGAAAAAATATTTATGTGTATCATTATCGTACATCTCCATTTATCTTAAAATATTGAGAGATTAATGTTAGTCCATATCACCCAGCCCTACCCTACAGTACAGACCATAGTACCCTACAAATACTATAGTACGCTATAGTATACTACAATAACTATAGGTACTATTGTAGACTACAGAAACAACAGATACTATATCCTGATGCATGCTCAATAATCCAGGTAGAAAAATCTAAAAAAGTTAAATCTGGTCCTCTGGACATTCAAAAAAACAAAAAACAAAACAAAAAAATGTTGAAACGTTTCAGATTTAACTTTTTTAAACAGATACTATAGTACCCTACAGATACTATAGTACCCTATAGTTTACAATGG